CTTTATTGTTTTGCTTCACATTCTACCAATTGAAGCCTGGTTGGGACCATACCCATTCATACACCAATGTTACTGGAACCAGTTGCTTTGGAAATACTGGTTTTTTTCAGAATTCTGAGGCAACTGCATTATAAAGTCTTAACGCACAGATGTCTGCAGGTGGACCAACCCTAATTAAAATGGAGGAACAGCCATTTTTTTTTTAGTTTTTGGGAAACATCACTTTCCTCACCTTAAAAACAGGTAGTGATACTAAGCTTGTAATGGGAATTAGGTGAAGTAAATAAGTGTATCTAAAGCACATAGTCTGTCCAGGTACACAGTAGCCACTTAGCAAACCTTAGTGCCCTTCTTTCTGACTAGATAAACCAAAGGGCACCTCTTTCTTGCCAAGAACAGTACTGTGACCTCTCAGGGCCCTTCTCTCTGGGTGCCCCACTTCAGTTCTACAACAGCCTGGCTTCTCATGGCCCTGAGGAGTATTCACTGGTTGACCTGTCCTTCCCTCCAGGCTCTGGGCTCCTCATGGCTGGGAAGTAGCTTTCTTGGTCCACAAGCACCCAGTTTCTGCTGTGCTAGCACTCAGCCCACGCCACTGTGCTAGCTTACAAGTATGGATGAGCAGAGAGATGATTTTGATAATATCCAGCCACTTTCCTGTGTACCCTTTCAAGAAAACTAGAACAGATTCTGAGGGTAGATATAAGAGTTCAGCCAAACTGTGAAGCTGGGCAGAATAGGAGGATGACCTCAGAATACTGTATTCTACAAGGCCTGCCATGTGAGTTGAGTGGTGCCCATCACTTCACTTGAAGGTCCTTTATCTCCTCCAGAAGGCCATTCCAGCTGTGCCTCCTGTCTCTTTCTATGCCATCCCCCCTGCATGTTCTTTGGGGAGCACCCATGTGTGCGATTGTGAATTTACTGGTTTGGCTCTTCCTCCATGCTCTCAGTATGAGCCTCTTCTTGCCAGGAATAGCCGGGTTCTCTGTGTCCAAACTTCTCCTTGAAAGGAGAGTTGTGTCTGACTTGAGTGCAAAGAAGCAACTGGCGGAGGTTCCGGTCTGGGTCTGGAAAACACCGCCCCCAGGGCTCAGGCTGTGTGTCATGAACCTCCAGAATTGTATGGGAAGTTGTGTGTATATGTTCATAAATCTGTTTCTCTTGTGAGGGAGTCCATAGTTTACAGAAGATCTTGAAATGTTTTCATGATCCTATGTTACAAAACAACACTGGCTTAGAGATTTTCCACATTCTTGTAAGTGAAAGCTTGCTTTCTTATTAGCTGGAGGATACTTTTTGCTCCCTCAATTTCCAGGTGCAAGCTCCAACTTAGGGGAGCCCACGGCTTCCATCTTGGAGCCACGGATGAGGTTTGGGGCCTTGGTACCTGCTGCTCCCACATCCGAGACAGTGCACTGGCTTTCCTAACTTTCATCTGTTAATTTAAGTGTAAAATGCTCTCATGTCCTACAGGAGAGCAATGCTGGCTTTTTATAAATTTTCTAAGGGCTGTACAATTATGGATGCCAGGATTACTGTTACAAATGTGTCATTTCTCAAATTACACAGTATTGAGAACACATTAGGCAGTTGATAAACATTCTTGTCCCTCCCCGCCTCCGTAAGTTTCACTTTCTGTGGTTTCAGTTACCTTCTATGAACTGTGATTTGAAAATACTATGTACAGTAAGATATTTTGAGAGAAAGATTACATTCATGTTACTTGCATTACCATGTTGGAGTTCTGATTTACTATTCTTACAATGCTAATTTATGAATTCAACTTTATCATAAATGTGATAAATAAATTGGGGGGCAATAATATATATAGGATTTGGTACTATCCATGGCATGGAATTCACTAGGGGTCTTAGAATGTATCACTCTCAGTTGGAGGGAGCTGCTGTTTGTGGTTAAGTGGGTGTGGAAAGTTTTTATTGGAGAGAGGGTTAGAGGCTGAGAGACACTAGTGTCTGCAGATCGTATAGCTCCTCTGGGGAACCTTGTATTCAACCTAGAACACAGCTAGAACTGGCAAGGAAATGATTTCCAAACAAGATAAAAGTAGAAATGACCTTCAAGATACCTGATCCAGTCTTTTTATTCTCCAGAAGAAACTGAGAAGACTAGAGAGAATAAGCCTGTCCTGCTTCTTTTTAGAGGCAGGATTCCTGCTCATCGCTTGTAGTGGAATCAAGAAGCAACAACCTCTTTGCCTTCATATCATCAAATTTGTTGTCTTATGTTTTGAAAACAATGATTCACTCATATAAGAGTCTTAGTTCTTTCATTAGGGCCACTTAGGCCTGAGGCTCATAGAATATGCTCGTCTTGTGTTAGACACAGGCACAGTACACTATAAAAATGTATTTCCGAAGCACTTTTTTTTTTCTTGGAATGCTCTCATAGACCACATCAGAGCATTGGGTAGAGATTATTGTCACCACTTAGTTCTACTGAAACCCAGAGTGAGATTACTGTGACTTGTCCATGTCATAAAACAGAGTAGGATAAAAGTCCCGGTGCTTTTAGCTTTCTGTCCTTGTAGCCTCTAGATTCTGTCTCTCTCAAAGCATCTCTAGATTGGGAAATATTACTGAACCAGACTAGAAGACTTATCTAGGGGAAAGATAGATGTAGTTTCAAATATATTCCATTTAGGGCTAGACTGTGTTTACACTCCTCCCTCCCCCCCATTGCAGGCCACATATACCAGGAGAAAGGCTGAGTCTCATCAGACCCCCTCACTGGCCCCAACCTGGAAATGTTGTATTGCTTAATGGTGGTGGTGGTGGTGGTGGTGGTGGTGGTGGTGTGCGTGTGTGTGTGTGTGTGTACATGTGCACTATAATCTATCTTTCCATTAAGACAATTTGCAATAGAGAGGAGTTTGAAATTACATTTAATCATTGCTTTATAATGGATGTTACTTAATTAAATATTACTTTAAAAATAGGCTTCTCTTTTCCTATAATTGCATTACTTTTTTGAGAGGAGGTTTTGTTTTGCTCTTTAACCTGATTTTGTGCATTTGGAAAGGACCCTAGCACAGGGTATCCGAAAGCAGAAGATTCTGGCACATTTCCAACTTTCCATTCTTTCTCCTGTATAGATGCCAGATTCCTTTGGGAAATCATCATTTGTAAAAGGTCAGCTGCGAAAGGAGGGGCATTCTTTAGTGTACAGTTACTGCTAATTGGATACTAAACATCTGTAACCATGTCAGAATTATTTGTATTTGAAAAGAAACATTTATACACAGAGCCTTTCTGGTAACATAAAGCACACTCTAACACAAAGTGTGTGTGTGTTGGAGGGGTATGGGACAGACAGCCGGGAGGCTTCCGGCAAATGGCTCTACTGAGTGAGATCATGTGCTAATTAAACCTGATCGCATTTTCAGGGTATTTTCTTTTTTCTGTCAGGTGAAGTTTTCTTATTCACTCCCAACCCAGATCCCCATGGGCTGAAGTAAAATTTTTACTGTTTGCTAATTAGAGATGAAACATTTAATCATTTTAAGGTTGGGGGGAGTGAGAAAATGGATGAATTGTCAAAACCTCGTCAAAGACCACTGGGAAATCTCTTACTACCTAATGTAACCTTAGCTCTCGGTGTCTGACTCTAAGAGTATGCTGTAATATAAGCCCCTCTCGCTCCTCAAAGTCCCTGCTGATTGACCTATCTCACGGACCTCTTCTTCCACCTTCCCACCAACCTCCTCTTGATGAAGTTCTGCCTGGGTCATTCCATTTGTACAGAAATTGTCCCTTTTTTGTCATAGTAAGACAAATGGTGATTTCTGTGGGGTTAGAAACATTTCAGTCATAGGGCCTTATTTTACACACTATGCCTGCCTGACCTGTGGCTCTAGTCGCCAGATCTTACCAATCAGTCCTTAGAACATTGATTAATTTTGGGAGAACAAAATGAGAGTCCATGTTTGCCTACAATCTACTGTCTTCTGGCGTCCCTGTCCTTGTCATGGCATCTAAGACATTTCTATAAACTGAGTTACTTTTTTAATTGGTTCAATGACTTAAGAGTTCTAGTCCTTTCTAAGCTAGGATATAACCCTATGAGGCTTTCCCCTCAATCCTGTCTGTATCTGTGAAGGCCCTTTGAGTGCAGTTTCAACAAACTGATTGTGGACTCTCAGGTTCTGAGTATTTACAAAATCAAGAGGCCTTTAGATGACCTGCCTTTCCAGTGACTTTTGTAGAATATCAAAATACCACTTTCCCTTATTTAAGAACTGGCTTCTTTTCAAGCTTTTTGGGTGTGAGTCAGCCCAGAGGCAAGGGTTGGTGAGTTGGAGGGGGGAGGAGGGGATCTTTTGTTCTCTTCACAGTAAATCACCTCACATACTGTCCCATTTGGGGCACTTTGTCTGACTTAACTTCCTCTCAGCCTCAAGTTCCACTGTTCATGAGCCTCTACTTCAGCCAGACATAACTAATGTACCCCAACCAGTTCTATCCCTGCTTTCTAGCACTATTCTAGTTTCTCCCTAGTTTCCCTCAGCCTGTTTGAATCATGCTTACTTCCTGAGTTCCATCCTTCTTAGCACCAAAATCCACAATCTTAACCTCTTGTTGCCATAATGTTATGATTGTTTATCATTTTTCCCAGAACTGTCTTGTACTTTGGTCTTTTACTTCCAATCAGAGAATAAGTTCCTCAAAGATGACAGAGACTATTTCACTTCTTCTGGCACTTACCATGATACTTTTATTCATTGTGAGTGCCCCCCCAAAAGTTACTTGGTTGTTAAAAAGTAAACCATCTTTACTACTACCTATTCATTGGTCTGTGTGTGTGTGTGAGTGTGTATATCATCACTTGGAATAAATATTAAAAACATCATTTGGAGTAAGGAGCATTTCCCACCCCATGCTCCCAACCCGACATGGACACCCTAGCATATGGACATCATATACAGCATCATGGATGTGGAGATGAGTGTTCAATGGCCTTGTGTTTTTATTTCTTCCCAGATGTGGCTGCTCACCTGTCTACCGCTCCCGTGAAATGGCAGCTCGTGCCTTGGTCCCACTTGTTATGATAGACGAAATTCCTAAAACCATCCAAACTCTGTTGGCCAAACTCCCCAACTGCACTGACCAGTGTTTCCGACAAAATCATATCCACGGGACACTCCTCCAGGTAAGGAAAGTTACTTTGTGTAACTTCCATCAATCACAACAAGAGGAACTTTAGTTTCTTACATTAACAGGTAAAGATTCAGTATATAAGCTTTAATTTTTAAACTTTTTTCCACTGCTGAAAGAACAAATATCCAGGGTGTTCTTTTTTCACCCCAAGCATACAGTGTTACACTGATTTAGTCAGGTCATCTTTTGCACTAAATCCTATGTATGCTTTCCCCTTTGACTTACCTTTTGGCATGACCCAGATAAACTTTTGTCTTCTCCTTCAAGTGTGTCTGAAGAACATTCTGGGCCACTCCCTGTACAGAGTGAAGTTGTGAGCAGTCCTTGACAGAGAATTTAGCCCAAGAGGAGTATACTTATCAGGGCGAGTTTGCCAGCAGCCTGACACTGTATTCCAGAGACCCGTCAAACCCTGCTCTCCTATTTCCTCTGTGCTACAAAAAAGTCTTTAGATTTTGAACATAGATAAATTTACTTTCTACTTTTAACTTTTCTTCTAGAAAAGACAATAGAACAACTGAACAAGACGTCACTTATCGAAACTGTCCTTTTTAAGCTTTTTTTTTTACACAAGGAAAATAAGTAGATTGGGATGAGAAAGGAAATGAAGGAAGAGAGAGGTGGTGAAGGGTAGGAGGGGAGAGAAAGCATGGGAAGACTTCTAACTCTTAACCATAAGCTTGGGGGGCAGGTGGTTTTAGTGAGAAGATCTGCTCTTCACATGGTTGCTGTGACAGGTTGTGGGACAGGGCTGGGGTGGCATTTAATATCAGGTCATGTTTCAGGTTTGTGGGCAGAGTTGAGAGGTGTAGGCAGACTTGAGATCCCAATATATGTTAGAAACTTGAGGTCTATGCTGTCTGACCCAGAAGCAAGCAGTGTGTGGGATGGTTAACAGTAAGGGACTCTGAGCCAGACTGTCTGAGAGTCAGTCTCAAGTCCATCACTCACTACCTGCACATTTCAGAAATGAAGATAATAATAGTGTACGCCTCTTAGGGATTTTGTGATGATTGAATGAATTAATATATAACATGCTTAGAAGAGTGTCTCCTATTTGGGGCCTCCCTGTGGTGCCACAAGGAGTTAAGTCTCAACACTATGAAGCTATCAGCTACCACCACAGCACTGGTTCCATCCCAGTCAGGGAGGTGACCCACATGGCACAGCAGACCTCTCCTGTCTCGCCCACTGCTCAGCCTTAGCAGTGTATTTCAGTCAGTCAGTCTGTTCTGCTCCCCACTCTCTCAGGTGAATCCTCTCACATCTCACACCTCTGTACCCCAACTCTTATATGCATAAATAAATAAATCTTAATTTAAAAAGAAGAGTGTTACTTAGATAATATATATTTTATTGTTATTATTATAGTTTAATGAGCCTGTGTTATAATGGAAACTGATGCTTTTAGTAACTAATTTCTACTTAGTAAGAATGCAAGCTAAACCTATCTTCTGGCCTGTTTTCCTTGGTTGACTTGTATATTCAAAGTATTTATTGAACACCTCCTCTGACTGTGCTAGTCATGGCAGTTACTAAGTCAGCTCCTACCTTGAAGGAACTACAGACAAAAAAAGATAAGAAAATGGGCAATCACAAGGTGGTGTGCTAAGCATGAGGGAGGCCTGAAGAGGGGCCAGTATTGCTTTTAGGGAAGTCAGGAGAAGCTTCCCAGAGAAAGGGGCATCTGAGCAGGAGCAGAAATGTTCCTTCCTCTCACCAGCAAAGGGAGGGTGAGTCTCCATGCAGAGAGAAGAACAAAACTGCAGGTTTTATGGGAACAAAGGTCTAGGTTGGCAGTGTCAGATGGGTCTTAGGACCTCCTTACTTTCTGGAAGTTGTTGAGGATCTCAAAGAGCTTTGGTCTATCAATATTTAATTAGGAACCAAGCCACAAAATCTTAAAACAAAATTCGCAAGCATCCAGACCACCAGTTACTAGAGCGACAGCATCATTATCACAGGCCTTGTCGGCTCCAGCCGTCTCCCCTGTGCACTTTTCAGAGAATAAGAGTAAAAGAGGAAAGTAATATCTTGGTATTATTTTGAAGGTAGTTTAATCTTGCTGACCTCCTAAAGACTGTGGGAGACTTCCCACACCCCCACATACATACTCAGAGGTCTCAGAATAGGCCCTCTCGCTTTTGTTGTATGCATCAAAGGGCTTTGGTATTTTCTTCAGAACAGACTCTTAAGCTCTCATCTCCCTGGGTCCTCACTACATCCCTGTGGGAAAGAGGGGGTCAGAGATTATTATCTTGATTTTAAATATGGGCACTGAGGGCCATCCACACAGGTTCCATCTCTTGATTCTGTCAGCGCTACTGCTGCTTTGAAGGGAAGTTGCTGGCTATAACAATAATGCAAAATGGGTTGTTCCTAGAGTCATGGGTTATGCAGCCCAATTAGAAGGAAGACTCAGATTGTCAAGGGGCTCGGGGTCCAGTCATTATTGAAGACCCTCTCTCGTCTGAGCTTTGTCACAGAGAATTGCCTTGTCGGCTCATTCACCAATTTTCCAAATGGGCCTCCCAACCCAGTTCTCCCCACACACACTACTAGCCAGTCTGGCTGTGTCACACCCATTTCCCCAGGACAAAACATAGTCTTGCTCTGTCTCTGGCTTGCCTTTGTGTATTCTCAAATTTACTTTTTGCTTCATAAAATGGTAAAACTCCATGGGAAGGTAAGAAACCCTGCAACTCTGGGGTGTTTGTGTCTGTTGCTTTTAGTCCTGAATGTTGGGGAGTTGAACACTTTGTTTAAAAAAAAAAAAAACAGCATGTGTGCTGGGTATTGGGTATTGTGTTCATGTTAGTCCAACAAATTCCTGGCTTCACCAAGATCAGTTTATACCCTGGTTGAAAGAAGGAAATCAGGGGCTTGGGAAATTTTTGTCATTTCTATTTTGGTGTCTCATCTGTGTTGTAATAGTTCTTTTTCACCCTGTCGTTCTTTCTGGGAAAGTCTAAGGGGTTAAAACAGGGAGGTTTTGTTTTTTTGTTTTTGTTTTTTTTTTTCCTTTTCCACAGCTTATAGATTCCTTTTCCACATAAAGCTACCTTTGAAATCAGTGAAAGACCTGCACCTGGCCTGGGAAAGAGATGTTAGGGATTGAAAGGAATGATAATCTCCATGGGACTTTCAGAGCCAGCTAAGTAAATATAAAATTGTTATTTTTTCAAAAGCAGGAACTCATTTTGTAATCAGAAAACACATTCTTTCACAGAACATTTTCTTGAATTATACATTTCGACTTCTTTGAAAAATGTTTACATAAATATATCAAACCTCAGAGTGTTTCTATACTATACCTTGAAAACAAGAAATGTGCTGAACTCTGAATTTTCTGCGCCTACTGAAGAAAGTCTCAAATTATAGGACACACATAAAAGAAAGAACATGTGGGTTTTATTTCTTAATCATTTTAAAAACCAGAGCTTCATAATTGCCATGCTGAAGAGGGTGAAAGTAGCGCACATAGAAGAGGCGAGACTATGTGGCAGGGTCACAAGCGCCGGCGGTGAGCGACGTTCAGTCGCAGTGCCGGCCTGATAAGAGCCACGGACATTACCTCATTTGGGAACAACACTGGCAGGGCTGCCGGGTGTTTTAAGTAGAATTAACCGTCTGTTTTTGTTGCCAAAATGCTTCATGTTAGGGACTTCACGTTATTACTAGGTTACTTATCACTCCCAGGCAATGACTGGTGTTCAGAAAGTTCTCTTGTATTGAGAAAGAGTTTGGCCAGCAATCATGAGGAAAAAAATTATCTGATTCTTGGGTTCTTAACTCAGTGTTTTGTTGTTTCATTGTAAAATATACATATACCACTTGAGCTTAAAGTTTGAATTTTGAGGTTTTTTTCAGTTCCTATCTTGGTTATTTTTCTGAAGATATAAACATATGAAGGGTGATTCCTGGTCTTTCTTTGCATTCTTTTATATGTGTAAGGAACTCTACAGCTGAGGTAATTTGGCTTCTGTTAAAGCAGAGAAACCTTTTGCATTTGTCTGAACATTCTAGGCAAAGGTATTCATTTCCCTTTAGTTAATCCCAATAATCACAGTTCTGTGCCTCCTTTTGCTAATATTAATTATTCTCAGTTTTTATCAGCAAAATTAGTTGAACACTTCAACGTTTTTCTCTCTTCCTTCCCCTCCAACTCTTTCCTAAACTTGGGAGTCATGATTTTTGTGTTTTGAGAATTCTGAGCCAAAAAGATTCCACTTTTCTCACTGTGGCGCTGTGCAGTGCCGTATGTTTGGGTTAACATGATATATTACCCAGAGATGGACTTCAGAGAGCCTAGGCTCACGCATTTGGAAAGAGAAGTAAAAGGAACATTCTGAGGACCACATGGATTGTGTATGTGATTTCATGACTACTCTCAGCAACTCCGTAAGTCCGGTAATCAATCTCTCTCTCTCTCTCTCTCTCTCTCTCTCTCTCTCTCTCTCTCTCTCTCTCTCACTGAGGTCAACCTGAGTCTGACACCCCGATATACTCTGGGTTAGGGCTAGAGTCAGGGTCTTTTTGGAAGTGAGAACAGGAGTGCTGGGTTGTGGAGGACAAAAATAGAGGGTGATATTTGCATTATCTTTGTGGGAAAAAAGACTGAGCTAGGAAAAAGAAAAGTTAGGCCATTTTGACTAGTTACTTGTGCAAAGGAATCCCTGTTCATAAAGCAGGGGTTAAGCCAACATTCTCCCCTCTCTGCTATAGAGAGAAACACTGGAAATAAATAGGAAATCAGTAATAGTTAGCCTGTAGTATTAATTCTGTTTGATGTTTCTTAAATTAGGATATGAATATTTCTGGAAAAAATCCTTTTTACTAATATTATTGTACATAAACTTATGATTAAGTATGACTTGCAATTATGATCAATTTCATGCAAGGTGCTGATGTAAATTGGGGCTATAGCAGCCATTATGCCTTGTAGTTTAATTTCAGAGAGTATAGAGCCAGCACCAAATAAGAAGTTGCATT